TATAAATAAAATATTTCTAAAACATCCTTGCAAACTACATGCAGATAATGTAAATAAGTGTAAGTGAATGATGTTTATAAAAGTTTCAATGTCAAAGAACTCTGACTGCATCTTCATTACTGAACAAAGACCAATAAAGAGATCCTTTACTCACTTCATCAGGATAAACATGGCTTCATCTCAACCCAATAATGCTGCCCGTCCGACAATAAATAGCACTGTGACAACCATCAGTTGCTTTGTAGATAAGACAAACCCATATGATGAAAGTACAAACACAATTTTACAAAAAAGACACACGTTAAATATTGTCTGAGTACATTTGATAGCAACCTCCGTACTGGAAGTACTTGGTTATACAGACACTGGCTAAAGCGAACAGACCAGGCCTAGAGATGCCAACGTTTTCCATGTTAAACTGGAACCGTTTTGAATTTGTGAGGAAAGGCAGAATCCATACTTGAATATTTCTTACTGGAGTTAACTGCCCTTTCATCAGTCTGACCCATTCAAAGGGGTGTCAGGTGTATTTGAACATCTGAAGATGACAGGGTCTATTGAATACACCAGCAAATATCCCTACACTAAGAATGGATTCATCCTTTCGTTTGGATTTTATTTTCCATAAGCCAAATGTATTTAATTTTATTAGTTTGTAACATGTCACTCCGCAAGTTTTAAGAATCGTATGGCAAAACGTGTGTGCATCTTTAGGCCTATGGTTAATATAGGAAGTTGACTTCGGGTGCAAATATGAACACCCCGGTTTAAGTGAAAGAGTTTGTGGAGATTTTAGTAGCTATTCATACAAATATTCTTTTGTATTCAGTGCATCAGCTTTAGAAACAAAACAAGGAATTATTCAGTCTTCCACATAAAACCAAAGTGTTCTTTTATGCAGGTTGAAATTGAAGCCAAGAAATCCAGACTGCTTGTGAGCATATCAAGTTTAGTTGATACTTTTAATTATCTTAACATATACACTAACAATAACTTATAAGAAGACACTTTCCCATTTTCCTGATTTGGAATCAATTGTAAAAATAAAAAGACTCATTTAGCAGCCTGGATTTGTCAAACAACATTAAATGTTTAGGATGTGACACTGACGTGACACAAAGTTTTGGCAAATACATCGATGAGATGATATCAAACCAAGTAAACCCTGGTATTGTCAAACAAAAGAAGTCGAATATATGCTGATTTCCAAGGGCCATAAACACTGTTGCCATCATACTACCAGGCTGACCTGAGCAGGCTCTGCGGCCTGATGAAGTGGGAGACATGAACGTTTTTGTTGGAACCAGCCACACTGAAACACGCCCCCAAACACTGCCATGATGCAACTGCCTGGCGTCTACATGATACAATGGTTGGTTAGTTGGTGGGTACGTTCTTGTGACAAATGGATCTAAACTACATTTAACTAATCGAATGAGAGACTTCACAAACTCTGTACTGAGAATATCAATTTTGAAAAAAGAAATTATAGATCCTTTTTCAATCACAACACGTGTCCAAAACAAAATCAAATTTCAACCCTTGAAAATATATCATGTCAAGAATATCATCATAGGACAACCTGCTCTATGTTTTGGGAAGAAATTCAAAACTGGAATCTCCCCACGAACATCAATGAGAAGACTGCCAAACATCATATTATAAGATCAGTGATGCTGACACAGGGTGGCCTCTAGGAATTTTCTGTCAAGGGCCTTTTATGTGAAAAATTCAAATATTCCAGAGGTACGCCCTTAAAAGCACAATGTTAAAATGCCGCATTCTATTTGAAAATGTGGGCCTTTTTCCAAATTTGGGGGCTAAAAGCACAGAGTCCCACCCTAGAATTATCCCTGCTGATATTTCCTTGTGAAGTCTCTCACAGTTGCTAAGGGCAGAGCCTGTTGTCCTGAGCCTGGTACTAAGACAGCATGTAATCATTGGCTATATACAACCAAACTGCAGTGCCAACCCAGAAATGCTTCGAGTCAACACAGCCAGCAGCTCATTATACTTAGTAGAAAACCTGGCATAGCCCACACAACACTGCTTGACTCCCACGTATCTCAATCATGCATGTACTTGTACAGGTATACAATAAAAATATATATGAAAACATGATGAAAAATAGTGTGTCCACCTCTCAGGTAGCCTTCTGTGGAATGCTTCAAACATAAACATTCAAACTCTCTTGCGAGATGTCATAAATATTCCTCTACGATATTTACATTTGTCTGGTCTGGTGATCAATCGAGAACCTTCTCTGAAGGTTACTCACTCACAATGGAATATGATTTCGATGGAAGGTGGATGGGGTGATATATTGAAAATGATGCAAAATGTTCCAAATCTTGAAATGATCAATAAATAATTTTGACACTTATCCATGGTGATAAACTCAAAAACAAATATACGAAAAAAATAACAAAAAATGGCCACAATCATAGCTCAATCTTAGCAATCATTCCACACAAACTGAGCTGCCTTTGGGTAAACATGATAATTTTATTGAACGTTTTGACTTTATGCAGATTGAGAACGCCTCAAGCTTTACCCGCAATGCACACAAATAAATAAATCAAGCAACTCTCTGTACAACCAATAAAGCACACAGGCTGCACCCCAGGAATAGCTACTTACTGCTGGACAAGAAAACTGGCGCTTCATAAATTCACTTCAATCCTACAATATGACTCCAATAAATAAAGCTGCCAAAAGCTGACCCTTATTATTTGAATATTCTTACGTTTCTTAACTTTCTTATAACCTTGAACACAAGTGTGGAAACCATAGCAGAATATTCCCACAGGTTTTGATAACTAGAATGTGTACACAATCTTACTTGACAAAGATTGTCACTAGTTACAATTTTGTTGAAAGCCAGACTGATCTTGATCCAGGAAAATGAATCTCCACTCCCTGCCCAGTGTTCCCTAGTACAAGAAGCAACATGCCAGACACAGCACTCATTCCCTCAACTCTACCAAGCCTCTGAACCCTAGCCTTGAACAACTTCAACACTACACACATCTTACTGACTACAAACCAAATTTATCTAAAGCTTGGACATTTCCACAGATAAAGGTTTAGCCTTCCCCAATAGAAACTGGTCTCCCAAAGGTGCAAATTCTTTCACACAGGATACAAATGTTGAATCTTCTAAGCATTCCCTTGAACCCATCCTACATTGTGCTGACTCGAGGTAAAAGCTGGTATCCCCACCATAGGGGAAATCACACACACCCCTGCCCCACCCCCCATTGAGAAGCCATGCATACCCAGCTCTCAGCAAGCACAAGCCTACCAATACATGGGTAGTCACTCTGTGAATCTGCTGGACAAGCACCGGCCCCTACAGGGCCACACACCACACAGCTCATGGTCTAATTACTAAGTACCTCATTTCTGCCTCACCCCTAGGAAAGCCACACATCACACACACCGTGCTGACTGTGCACCTAACCCCCAACCCCAATAGGTAAGTCCCAACGCACTCTCTGTGCACCTGACCCCCACCCACTACCCATGCAGGAAAGTCCACCACACATCCTGTGCACCTGACCCTGCCCCCACAGGTTAGCCCCACACACACTCTGTGCTGACTCTGCTTAATCAAACGATAGCCCCACCCCTATAGCACTGCAGTCCCAGAACAAATTACATGGCAAACATACATGCACAAAGTCTGTCAACCTAACCTTGGAAACAGTCTTTTCCTTATTTTCACTAAAACAGCATATACAAGGCACATAGTACTTGCTTGGAACAAAATGTTCTCAAAATATCAAATGTTATCATAACTTGTTAGGAATCTACCTATTTGACTGCCCAGTTGCCTGGTCTGTTCAGATAGCATGACGTCCGTCATGTTTGAAGGTACGTGACCAGCTTGTCACGTCACACTTGCCTGTTTCCACTTCCACATGGAGAGTCCAATGGCTGTCTCACAAATATTACCGTATTCGACGTAATAAGCGCCCAGGGGGCTCTCAAAATTAGAAATAGGGGGCTGTTATTAGAATATTATTTTGGTGAAAATAAAACAGAGTTGAAAGATAAATTTCATGGTTATGCTGACAGCCTGAAATGTTTATGTATGACAGATATATTTTTCCAGAATTTTATTGCCCATAATTAAGGGCGCATATAGCACATGAGTGCGTATTATTCGCGAATAAATTAGTCTTGTGTACATTGATCAATCGGAGAGGGTGCTAATTGGGATTGATCACCAGCCAATATATCAGCAAATGTCACCATGGTTGCTTATTAGTGCGGGGCGCTTATTACGTCGAATACGGTAATTGAAAATATTTGTTTGTAAACTGTGAACTGGTAATGATAAACCTGTTACAAGTGTCAGTAGCGGGGTATACTGGATGTTATGATTTCATTGTTTGTCAACATCCCACGATCTTCAACCAATTTAGCTCGTACAATCCAATACACCGTGCTACTGACATGTGACTCAGTGTCAAACCTACCTAATGACATCACGAACAGTCCTTAGCTATCTAAGCCTGAAATCATATTACATCCGAACATACATTACCAATCTATAAATCATTAACCATAGGCACACTTTGGGAAGATATGTCGATATGGTTTTTTTATTACGTGATAACACAATATCAGACCAATTGTATTACTCGTTTTACAAATCAACCTGTCACTCATTAGCTCTCCAAATATTGTCATGGGATATGTGTAGTTACTTCTAATTTATACCTGCTACAATTACATTTTGACAATGTTCTCCCACATGCTCCTCATAAGATTTAACCTGGACCAAAAGAAAAGCATTTTTCAACACAAATAATGCAACACATTAACTTTTTTTTTATCTAAAAAGGTTCTATTTTTTTATAACTTCTTCTACCTGGTTTGTATTTTTTAACAACCATACCAGCATAACTGTTCAATATTATTTCCCTTTTCCGTAATCCCTTTTCTAAGCTGAACACGTTGGAATTATTCATTACATTGAAGGAAAGGCCGTCACTGATGTTGGCATATTACAGATTTAAACATTAGTAAAACAAGTAAACAAATTGGTATGCTCTTATTCAGAAATAACAAATCCTACTGAATTGCACACTATTAACAAGGTGTTAGAAATCAACCTTCTAAATATTGATTAAAAAAACATATCAACTGAAGATAGGTTCAAAATACACAAGTTTGTAATACATAAACATGTACGTCTAAATCAGGAATTGCATGAAAATACAGAAAGGGATGTCTCAAGACTATCATTGACAAACCACTCCTCCAAGACACAAAGCCATTCTTCAACAGAAACATAATAAAAAATATACACTGTGCCCATTTCAAGGTTTACACATATACTATCAATACAAGAAGTGCCTATGTCAAGTTAGCAAAGACTGACAGTGTTAAATGATGGCGTGTCTCATATTCCTTCCACGTATTAGGGACCTACCATTTCCTCTTTGGGTGGGGATGGGTGAAGTGTAATTGTTTCGAAATATATTTTATCATCAGGTCATAAAGGAAGAACATGAAGCATATCAAATTTAGGCAGATAAAACTTAATTGTCACTCAAAAATGAATTTCTCAATAGATGCCGCCAAATAGCAAATAGTATGGCAACAATTTATCAAATTAAAATCTCTTCTTCCTCCCTCGAAGATCAAATGGTTGCTCCCTTAGACACCAGCAGTCCTATTTGTGGACCGACTCAATTCATGCTGGATATTCTTCAAACAATCATTAACAGAATAAGTAATATAAACCATATTTGTCTACAGCATAACATGCCATTCATGGCTGTGAAACAAATCAATCTTAAAAACAAAAGAAACAAAAAATAACTTCATTTATGAATGAAAATCTCAAACTGTTTTAAAACAGAATGTCTTTAACCAGACAGGACATAAACAGAAATCCTATAGAGTTATTTAATTTCGGCATCAAATTTCACAGCATCCAAGAATATTGACAAAGAGACTCCATGTATAGTGATCTCGTTAAGTCTGTCATCATATGGCTTGATGAACTGATGTTGGTAGTAACAAAATGGTGGTAGCTAAGATACAGGTTCATACGTCTGGTGGGTAATTGTATGATGAAACATGTGGTCTAATCACTCAACTTGTTGCACACTTACATCACCATTAAACAGATCAGGGCATTGCTACCTGAACATGATCAACTCATTCAACTTCACAAATAGTCTTGAATCTCTTTGGAACAAGGTGGCAGACCAACATGTTTGAGTTTCTGGCTTAAGTATTTCTGTGTGATTGAGTTAAGTAATATATTCCATGTTTCCCAACTGTAAGTTAGCACAGTTTGAGTAGGCAACAATCCTCCACACTCATGCAATAGGTGCCCCATGAAAGTTACAGACCGCCACAGCTTGGATGGAAGAGACAAGGCACTTTCAAGCCATGAAAAGCATATTTGAAAAACATATTCCAAGCATCATTTTTCTTAATTAACAAAATCTGCTTCTTAAACATTTCTTATTTCTTTCTCTTGACATACTGTGACAATCGTGACTGTTAATTCAGTGTATAGCACATATATGGGGTAAGAAACTGTAATAGGGGAGGTGTTCTATGAACTGTGGGTGGGTATCTTGGGTGGAGCGGGAGACTGATATTAAAGTTTGCAAATTCGGTTTTCATGGTGAATCCTTCGTGTTCCTATCAATTTCTGCAGTATGTGCATTGAATAATACCTTAAAAGTTTCAAAGTAGCTTTTCAAGCTGACAAGGTCCTGGTCACTGAATGGTGTCAAGCACTAGATTCTGTACACAGCACTTTGACAACAAGCACTTGTCTACTTTCTAAGATACTTATGATTCCATTGGCATTGTATAATAAAATTAAATGTTTCTTTCTTGAGAGGGTATTTGGAAAATAAGAAATTTACGTATCAAGAAAGGTTCATATCAAACTTATTTATTTTAACTTGAGACACACTGATGCAGTGTATATTTTTTGTAAATCCTATAATCCAGTTTGTAAATCTAGTTATTTACTATGAACTCTTAAATCCTTTGGGGGAACGAGCCTGAGGGCGTTGTGTTTACACTAGGAAACATAGGGGGCACTTATTACAGTGAGCGTGTCATACATGGTTCAATAAACCACAACATTTCTCAAAAACACCGAGTGTCTTGTTCACTCAGTCGTTAATCCATCTCTCCAATTACTCCAGTACAAATTATTGTTCAGTCCAGTTTACCTGGGCTTCCGTTGACATTTTGATTGAAGCAATAATGAGCAATATACAATGAAAAGTGTCACAAGACTAATATCAAAATGATTGCTTTTCAGGTCATTGAATTATTGGCTACACAAAATGGAGAATGTTACATTCTTGATGAGGATGAGGATGAGGATGTTATACCCTGGTACAATGTAATCTATTTTCTCTTAAACCAATCTCATTAAAATCAGATCTTAGTTCTCGCTACTGCTAAACAAAGATCTGAGGACATTCAGTTAGGAGTCACGTCAGAACGACCTTTCATCCGACCAATCAGAGCGTCGCTTACCAGATCATGAAAGTGACAGTCGGAATGTGATTTCTAATCATGCAACCTCGAAAACTTTAACACAGGGTATTCCGAATGATGGTTACGGTTTAACAACTGACTCCATACAATCTAGACCATATATTTGCCATTCCAGAATATTCTTTTGTTCAGGTTTCAAATTTTAATCGAGAATTTGTCAAAATATGTTTCGAAGCGGAGTCACCAATTTGAATTTAGTGCCGTAAAGCACGTGAGAGCTGCCTATTGACTGGCTAATGTCAACTTCTTGTCAGTCCTTCCATTGGTCAGTCTGAATTTGCGCAAGGTCAGTCTGACGTGACCCATAATGGGATGTCCTCAGATCTTTGTTTAGCGATAGCAAGAAGTAAGATCTGATTTTAAAGAGATTGCTCTTAAACAAAAAATTAAATCAAGAACATTCTAAGGAGGGTAAGTCTGAGTGTCCTCTCAATACGAACCATCATAAATAAATTTGATTATGCATATTTTAACCAGGTTCTGTGTAGCACTTTTCTGTCCTCAAATAGACAAGATTTGTAGCATTGATCACATATATCCAAATTCCACATATAATATTTAACCAACATCAACAAAATGCATCAGTTCTCAAAATGTAGGAACAAGTTTTGAATCATGTTGCAATACAATAGGTCTCAAAATGAAGTTCGATGGGAATGAGTCATTCTAATAATACTTGACCAATTTTGATAAAACTGCTTGAGAATGTAATGTTTCAATGAGAACTTATGAATACTTAAGTTGCATCGTGAGACTTCAGATTTGGTTGATGAATGGATAAGACTATTGGGACCTTTCATGATGAAAATATGATCAATCAAAATGATACTTCTAAAATCTGCAAATATGGTTAGTGTGCAGAGCTATGCAACTCAAAAAAATCGCATCTGAATGAAATGATCTGTAAAGATATGGAATGACAACCAATGTAAAAGTACTATGCTTGAACAAAACAGGTTTCAAAGTCCCAGTCAACTTTGAATGAAGATATGAATGCATATACACTGACAAAATATCTTAACATAGCGTATTTACAATATTCATTTGACAATCTGTCAACAAGTCTCTTTAAGGCAATCGGGAATTTCTTTCGCTCTGCAAAAGGTTGATGTCCTCATCACTAGATGGCAAGCAGCATAGACCATCTCTGACAACAGTTGCCATGATGGTGGCGTCCTGAATATAGAGATGCAAGTGTTCATACTATGCAGTGTTACAAGTCTCATCAGCTAGGTGGCGCTCGCTGCAGTGGGAAGCCATAGTATCTACCGGACGCCTGCTATGATGCTGAACAGGGTCGCAGCCCTTGGATCGGTTCTGTCTTCACCATGATTTTCTCGCTGGAAGAAGTGGTCACAACGATTGGATGGGGTAGAACCTTGATGCGATGGTGGTCAGCAAAGTTTGACAGAGCATCGTATTTGGACCGGAGGGCAGTCAGTTCCATTTTGACAACATCATTCTCCCGCTGCAGCCGATCCACCTCCGCCTTCAAGCCCTCCTTCTCCGTTTCCAGCTCCTCCTTCTGGGAGATGCGCTTCTCGCGGCAGTTGGCGGCATACCCACGATTCTTGAGCGTGCGGCGGCGTTGCTTCAGCTTCACCACATCGTCCCTGCTCAGCCCCTTCAGCAACCGATTCAGCTCCTTCACAGACAGACCAACAAGCTCATCATCACTCAGGCGGTTGGCTGCGGCAGAGGCCTGCTCTTCGGATTTTATCTGGGATAAAAATATCTGAAACAGAATATACAAAATGTTAGCGTTCAGTAGAACTAAATAAGAAAATAATGTCTACGGATGTTTGGCGAAATTTCTAATCTATTGACCACCACAAGTAACAAGAGAGACTCATAATGCACTATTACAGTGTAATCCTAAAATAAACCCGTTTCCAATGACGTTATAGTTTAGTTTTTCATGGACCAGAATATGTTTTTCAAAAGATCCCAGTTCACATCAGAAGAAAATACAATCAGACAGACACCAAAGCAAGGGAAATATTATACAAAGCCAAAAAGTTATGGCAACTTCAAACTTCCAGGTAAAGTTTATAACACTATGCCCAAAGATAAACAGGGGCGCAGGTGGCCTAGTCATCTTAGGTGCCACTATTCTCTGTGCAGAATTGAGTCCCTTGGGCACGCCAGAAACCTTAATATTGTGGGTTTGGATACTGGTTCACCCCGATTATGTTTCTAGGTTTGTTAGCCGCATACTGTTGCATAACTTGAAGACTGTTCGAAGCAGTGTGAAAGCAAATTCACTCACTCACCAACTCAAAGATAAAATGAAAATGCCCTTTCGTATATAAACCACACTGATCACCGTAACCGATATACGTCACAAAATATTAAGTATAAGCATGAAGGTATTGTTTGAGTAGCAGCACTAAGCGGCTCTGCCGTAAAGCTGAGGGCAATAATCTACCAATACTTAGTATCTATGTTTCAATAACAGGAATACTCTTTGCTTCCACAGATAAGTCACTCCAAATTAGGTCCATTGGCAGGGCAATGATTTTTCAGTATATATCTTGATTAAATTAAATTTTGAGAAGGAAAACATTATTTTTGTCTCCCTAACTTCTCAATATGAAATCTTTTCAGTCAGTTCAACACAAATAGGGTGAGGTGAAATGAGACATAGCCACATGCATACATGTGTGTGTGTGGCTGTTTGTACTAGCCCGGACTAATGTCGATTTTACGGTGCCAACCTACTGTGATACCATGGCACAGTTTAACATTGACACCCAACTCAGACGCAGTATACTGACTCTGAGACAACCAGTCCTTGTTTTATCCCATTTATGCTAAGCGGGGCAGTCGGGTAGCCTAGTGGTTAAAGGTTCGCTCGTCACGCTGAAGACCCGGGTTCGATTCCCGACATGGGTACAATGTGTGAAGCCCATTTCTGGTGTCCCCCGCCGTGATATTGCTGGAATATTGCTAAAAGCAGAGTAAAACCTCACTCACTCACTTACTTTATGCCAAGCACGAGGCAGGGAAACAACAAGTACCATCTTTTAACGTCTTTTGGTATGACACGGCCAGGGATCGAACCACAAACCTTCCGCTCTATCCACTGACCACGGAGGTGTCATTACAAATTAGGATGGATTAGTAAAATATACACTGAATATATATATACTAACATTTCCTTCCATCTCTACAGTGAAGACAAAAAAGTGAAATGTAAGCATATTTACCATGTCTAATGGATTATAAGCCATCATTGTCCTGCATGAATCGATATACATCCACAACAATAGGCCACAATTATGTTATCTCGTTAGACTGAATTGATACAATTAGTGACAGCAAGCATGGGTTTATACAACAACACCAGATGACACAGCTTCCTAGGCCAGGGCAAATCATGCTTACTCGACAAAACGGAGCGTCAGCTTCCTGAGTTGTATCACACCAGGAGATGGTCACGTCATGTCCTCCTCACCATATAAGACACGTTCAACTTACTACAGCCTTCAGATGTTCACAGAAATGAATCTAGGGCAATCATGAATGTGCATGAGCACTATATTATATCCTGAATTAGATGGTTACACATCATGTCTTTGAGGGAGTTATGAGGTCCTCGAGGCTTGCTGCTGGAGTTTTTTCAAATCTCAGAACTCACAAAGTTTTTGAGAACACTAGAACACAAGGGTTATTACAAGGAACCCTTGAGAGCAGATGTTTTATTTTTTGATTTACAGATTTCTTTTGTGAAAAACATTGGTGGAAATGTGAGAAAAATGTACAAAACATTTCATATTACTTTTTTATGTTATTTCACGTAAAATACGCAAATTTGTTGGTCAATGATGTTTTGATAACCATACATGTACCCTGGTACAACTGTGAATAACTTGACAACAGACATTTTGTTCTCTGAAATCTCCTTACAGTGAAATGGCTCAACGTCATGTATTTTAACACTGACCTTAGATATCCCCAATGCAAAGGGCCCAAACAAAACCAATCTGGTTTGGCAATGTGTAAACAGCATTGAGCTGTCTCCCAGACCCAAGACAATAAACAAAAAAATCCATCCAACTCAAGTCTAGAATGATTGGGCAAGTCTAGATTGCCCTGGCTCAACGGTCCCTAAAATTTGGTTTTCATTTTTTTCATTTAATAGATATATATTTTTAAATACCTGTTAAGATAACTTTATTTCTAGGGCTAAATGTCAGTCTATCCTCAAGGGATAAGCCTTACTTATATTATCATATGAATATTTTACAATCATGTTAGCATGATGATCGCTTTGTGGAACATATCCCATGTCTCAACTGAAGCTAACTCCATATTAAAATAACGTTTGAATCCCATTGATTTGTTTATATCATGTTACTAGGCCTGTACATACTATAAATTATCCAGATATGACAGTACAATGTCTGTACATGCTTGTCTGAAGTCTAGCTACAGCAGTGTGTGAGCGATTGTTGTGATACACCACAGGCAGCAATATAAGAGCCACGTACGTTACAGTCAAGACAAGACAAGACAAATCAGTGCTTGATAGAATGTCCAATTGGGAAAAGTTTGACCGTAGCCCTGGACAAAATGTATTTAGATACACGTATAAAACGATCTGGTCATGCATACACTGAGTTTGATTGAAGTTTTACCTTTATTCAAACATATAAAAGTCAGAAGGAATGTGTGCATAGTCAGAGAGAAATGCATACATTAGTACTTATAGTGTAACCATGTAGTTCTAGATCATTTTTGCCATTAAACAATATATCACATGACTAACCACAGGTCCGGGTAGTCCTGTAGGTCCCCGGGTCCTTCTCAGTACCCACCCGACCCGAGTACCTAAGTTACCCGTCCCAGCCCTAGTCTGTACAGTTCTTAATGCAAGTCTTCAGTCATAACAACTCAGGATCTGTAGTCTTTAAGCACAGCGCACGAAATAGCCTCTACAGGTCACTCTAAATCACAGTACAATGTCTATTTAACAACACATTGTTTACTGCCAGTGTTAGGTTGCAAAAATATTCTGTCTCCATCCCCCCACCCGGACATAAAACCCACCCACCCCAAACTATGTCATGGCTTATGTAAGCTACTCCGTATACCACAGTGGTATGTCATATCACCCAGCACAACAGCTGAAACACCATGTCTACAACAAACATATCTGTCACTGGTGTGGATATATAGCCCAGAAATAAAACTCACAGGTTTGAGTTTCTGCCACGCCCTGGTTATGTTTACAATCTCCAGTAACACGATGCATTATGTAAGTGTAGAGGACCTCCTCCTACATAAATATATGACGCTGCTTGTGAAGTGAAAACTTAATATAAACATAATCCAACACCTTTTAAGATATACAATATTCTTTGTAAAGAAAATGTTATATCAGAACATCACACAGATAAGGCAGAGATTTATCTAAGATTGCAAACCAAGCACCTTCAGCAGGCAAATCGGGGAACAGGTCATAGTTCATATTTTCTTTTTCTATTTTCAATTACCGTATTCGACGTAATAAGCGCCCAGGGCGCTCTCAAAATTAGAAATAGGGGGCTCTTATTAGAATATTATTTTGGTGTAAAAAAAACAGAGTTGAAAGATAAATTTCGTGATTTATGCTGACGGTCTGAACTGTTTATATACGACAGATATATTTTTCCAGAATTTAATTCCCCATAATTAACGGTGCATATAACACACGAGTGCGTATTATACGCGAAAAAATAAGTCTTGTGTACATTGATCAATCGGAAGGGGTGCTAATTGGGATCGTTCACTTGCCAATATATTAGCAAATATCGCCGTGGGCGCTTATCAGAGAGGGGCGCTTATTACGTCGAATACGGTAATATTGCTTTCAATGCAATAACGTAATCACAACCATATCTATGAAGCCATAACATTACTTTTTCTAGTATTAACATGATCTGGGACGATTTTAATTCAAACTGGGAATTTTAATTTGGATTTGGGACCAAATACCGGCCTCTGTGCATGTGTGGATAAATCTTTGTAAGGTGAATCAACAATAGATTTTTTTCTCTTAAACTTTTGAATCACTTTGCAATGACTCATAACAATTGCTATGCATGTGACATAGATAACTTTTCCTCTGCGAGAACCATGGTAAATAGGCCAGTTAATTAACCTCTAACTGTTGAAAATGAGTTTGTTGAGGTTTGGTGAAGGGTATTATGTGAATGTCATGACATTTAACAAGGTCAGTTAATGAAGTTAATTTTTCTTCCCTGTTTATTTTCTTACTTCAGCGTATATTACCAGCTGTTTCAGTTCTACAAGATTTCCCCCAAACAATTCATTCCTAGCCATTGTAATTAAGACACTTGTTGTAATCAACAATTCATGAATAAGTGGGTCAAATCCCTTTTTTCCTTCCGACACCAATGTCATGAAGGTCTGAAAATATATAAACCGTCCACACTTCACACAACTGACGAGTCCACAGTCAAATACATCAGATCATGAAGCTTGAATAGCTTCCCCATCAACAAAGAGAGGGATATTTGATGACCTCACCACTATGTGATTAAACATTGATCAAGTCAGCATTCATCCACATTACTCATACTGGTCGCAGTGCTTGCCTGCCAGCCAGCCATGTCTCCTTGTGACATTCCCCCACTCCTCCATCCCCCCATCCCCAGGGCCTACAACACGTTTTCTCATTACATCCCCCCTCTCTTCCATCCCTCTATGTGCCACCACATTTCCTCATTT